TGCTCTCCCACCCTTGCCAGGGACCCTCCCTTCACCTCCTCCCCTGGAAATGACTCCCCACCTCCTCCTGCCCTCCAGTCCCCACAGGACGCCCCAATTCCCAGCAGCCAGGGCAGGAGGCCTCTGAGCACTGGGGCCTCCAGAGGGTCCCCTGCCTTTGTCACTTCCCTCAGCCCTGCTTTTCTTGGTGGCGATGAGAAAGGTGAGGTGGGGAAGGAAGTGGTGGGACAGAGAGTACTAGGGAGGAGGAATGGCTTCTTATTTCACCATCATTTCCTCTGGGGCTTTCACCAATTACCCCACACCCGCCCCTGGGAGGGAGCAGTGGGCAGGCTTGGCTCAGAGAGCCCCCAGCCAGGCCCAGAAGCAGCGGGGCAGGGGCGGGTCCTGCATAGGCCCAGGTCTCCCTCCTCTCTGACCCCTCCCCACCTGCAGTCTTTGCCTTCTTCAGCTCTTCTTCCCAGACAGGCTGGGCAGCTGCTGACCCCACCAGCTCTGGCACCCTTTCCTCAGGGCGGCCGCTGCCACCCCAGCTCAGACAGAAGGCCATGGCCTGGGAGGCCACGTACCTGCTGCCCCTTGTCCTGCTGGTTCTCCTGGCTGCAGGTGAGGGCAGAGGCGAGGGGGAGAGAAGGAGCGATGCTAGTGAGGTGGTGTGAGGGGCATGTGGAGGAAGGGCGAGGAGGTGGGGGGAGGTTGGGGGACTCGGGCACTGAGTGGAGCAGAGAGGACTTCCTGAGGAGGAGGCCCCTCTCAGCTCCATGGCAGCCAGTGGGGCTCCCTGACCTGAGGGTTTATTCTCAGGCTCCTGGGAACAGCAGCCAGAGCTGCTGCAGAAACTGGAAGGGGAGGAAGTCTCCGTAAGGTGTGATTATCCACCCCAGAATAGTTCAAAGCCGAAAACCTGGTGCAGAATAACAACAGAGGGAACTTGTACCTCATTAGTCAACCATCCCAGGCTCGGCCAGGAGCCTGGAGACCCGAGATTCGTCATCAGGGATTACCCCGGACAGGGGTACTTCACCGTCACCATGGCTGCGCTGGCAGAGAAGGACTCGGGCTTGTATTGGTGTGGATTCTATGAATATCCCCAGATCGACATTCTCAGAGCCATCCATCTGACGGTATCTCCAGGTGAGTCCTTCCCTCTGTGTGTGCTTCTCAGGTTCCCTGACCCACAGGAAGCTGATGCTGGAAAGGACCTAATCAGGTGCCCCAGCCCCCGTGGCTGAACCCCGGGCCCCTTCCCGAGGTCGCCGCTGGTTACAGGCAGAACCAGCGCCAGAACTCAGACTGCCATCTTAGTTCGGTTCTCCCTTCCCCAGCGCACACACTTCTCCAAACACTTGTTGTTGCTCACAGGGCTCCCCGCTGACTCATACTCATCACCAAGCTGCCTCAGGCTTGAGCAAACCTGGCTTATGGGTCCATTCCGGGCACCCCTCCCCCTGACCCCAATCCCAACCTTCTCTCCAAGGGCTGTGCTTGAGGCGGGTCACAGGTGACTGTGTGGGCTCAGGGAATGGGGACAGGCAGGGGACACACATAGTGAGCAGACTTGGATTCGGGGTGAGGCTGGGAGCTGCAGGGGCCGAGGGCTCAGAGGGCCTGGGTCCCACTCTGCACCCGCCTCTGATACATGAGTGATCTTCAGCCTCAGTGTGGGAAGCTTGAGGCTCCTCCTAACCCTGGGCCCCTCCCCCATATGCCTCCTGAAAGCTTCAGAGGTGCACAGCCCCCCTACATTTCCCCGTGATGGTCAAGGGTTAAACAGTACCTTTGAAGACCCCCGCCTGGCTGCTGAGCCTGTCCAGCTGTTCGGTCAGCTGGGGGCCTGGCGCATACACATCAGCTGCTCGATCATTCTCTGCCCAAGCCTGGGCTCATTGCCCACTGCATGTCGGGCACGGGGCCAGGCCCTGGAAGGGGAATTGGAACCTTGAGACATATGAATAAAAGGTTATGATGCAGGTTGGTGGGTGGCATAATGGAGGCATGTTGAATGGAGGTCCAGAGGAGGGAGGGGGCCAGGTTGCTGGTGAGGCCAGGAGTATGGGCTTGCCTGCAGGACTCCCCAGAGGAGGTGACACTACAGGCCGACGGGGGTGGGGGGGCAGTTGGGGTCGAGCAGGCTGGCAATGAGGGCAGTTAGGGTCTATTTCTCTTCTGAAGCCCTCACACAAGCCTCTAATGTTACTGCACAAGTCCCACCAACCATCCCCGGAGGAAAGGAGCTGAGCATGCCGCCTACCGTGGCCCTTTCGGAGCTGCAGGTGCTGGCTATTGTTCTGACTTGCGGATTCGTCCTGAACAAGGGCCTGGTGTTCTCAGTCCTGTTTATCCTTCTCCGGAAAGCCAGGGCCTCAGGTGAGTGGGGGCCGAGCCGGGCTTGGGTGGAAATGAATGAGGGGACCCAGATGGTAGCTGCAGACAAGAGCTCAGAGGGGCCCTGTCCCAGGGGTTCCCCACAGCTTGTCCCCTGACTTTGCCCACTTCTTTGCCCAGGAGGCAGGCCCAGCCCCGGGAACCCAGTGAATGGCGCTGGGCTGGGCTCACAGGGACAGGAAGACCTGGGGGTGGGAGTGGCCAGCATGGTTTTGGCTGCTTGGCAATCCAGTCTTTTCTTCAGAGGGAGGGAGGCTGAAGCCGGGACTGGCATGGATGGATCACTTGCAAATGCTGTCTATTTCTCTCCCTCCTCAGGCAAGCCA